GCACGAGCTGCTGGAGGACGAGGAGCAGCTGCAGGCCCTGGCGCGGGGCATGGATGAGGTGCGGCTCCCCCCACCTCCCTCACATTCATGCCCCTCCCCCCCCCGTGGGACATGGCCCGGCGAGGGGTGGGTGGGGGCTTCGCCAGTCTCTGGTGGGTCCCCAGTGGCTCGTGCTCACTCAGCCCCGGATAGACGTTAGGTTTATGGCGCCCGGGAGGGGGGGGCGAGGGGCGATCTCCTTCCCCAGCCCCTGGCATGCCGACACCTTGTGACCTTTCCTGGCAGACGTTACATTTAAATCCCCTGGTCTGAGGGGAGCAGCAAGGGGGTCTCGGGCCAGGCTCCTAGGACCGAGCGGGTGCGGGCACCTCGCCCTCCCACGGGCCCCCGTCAGGTGTGATGTACCTCATGCCGCACGTGCGGAGTAGTTGTCACGCCGTGAAAAGGGACGACGGAGCCGACCGGCTCGCGAGCAAGTGCTTGAAAATGGGTAACAAGTCTAGAGCTGGTTTCTAACCGGCTTTTCATTTGAATGCGTAGCTGGGTCTCCTCCACATGTCGTTGGGGCTGGCGTGTCTCTGGGAGGGCTGGACCGGCTTTCCACGGCGTTGGCGAGCCCTGGGCTGGAGCACGGTTTCTGCCGTGGCTGCGGTCGGGTCTGTAGGTACGGAGGGTGCTGCGCAGACCCAGTTGGGCTCGCGCTGTGCTCGCCTCCCACAAACACCCGCCGTCCGTGGTGACACGTGGCCTGTTCTGGGGAGAAGAGTCCCCGCCGCAAGCCACGGATCTGGCCGCAGATGTTGCCCAACTGGATCCAGCACTTCGGGGCTCCCCGGCTGCAACTGCATGTCTCCTCCTCCTGGCTCCTAGTAGCCTCCGCAGCCAACGAAAGCTGTCTAGAAACCAGCTCGGGACTTGTTACCCGTTTTCAAGCACTCGCTTTGGAGCTGGTCAGCTCTTCTTTATAGCTAGCATCCTTTGTAGCTACACGCCCATCCACAAGCCAGGGCTTTCCACAGAGGAAAGTGGGCTGCCAGCTGGGGTTCTCCTCTCCTTCCTTCCTCCTTGCCAGTGCCAGGAGGAGACATAAGTGAGATGTTGGTAGCTTTACCTGTGGCAGGTTGGGGTGTGACATCTTGTTATGTCAGGTTGGACACGGTAGTCTTGCTAAGACTGACTTGGAGTGGTTTGGACAGCCGTGGTCCTGCCTGAAGCAGGGAGTCGGACTCGCCTCTGGAGGTCATTTCCAGCCTGACTTCTCTCTGGGCCCTGCTACACGTTTAGATGAAAGCTGGATGGAAACCAGCGATAAGAGTTGTTACGCATCTTTCAAGCACTAACTTTATAGCTGGTTGGCTCTTTTTATAGCTAGAGAGTCATTTTTATCCTATGATAATTACTTTGCATGTGGGGCCGGTCTAAATGTATTGTGCGATTCACCAGTTAATTGTGTAAGACAGCATATGTAGCCTGTAGCAGGGGACTATGATTCTGTGAGATAAGCAGATAAACTAAGTAGATCAAGGCAGGCTCGGGCCCGTCCGTGCCTGAACATCCCCCACCCTCACAACCCAGCCCTTCTGCAAGGAGTTAAGCCTTATAACATATAAATTCATTTGGAAATGGGGTGCCACTTGATTCCCAACAGTTGGGGGCGGAGGTGTTGAGTCTGGTGAGAAGTGCTTTGAATCCACAAGCATCATGGGGCCTGGGAAACTTGCAACCAGGTATGCAAGTAGAGGCTCTGGGTTGTGGTATTTTATAACTTCTCCCAAGATATGCTGACCAGCGTGTGTCAAAATTGAATGTAAATGTTTGTGTGGGGCAAGCCAGGGTCAAACCTCTTCCGTCTCTAGAGCTGGACAGTATCCTTTGTATCTAGAGCATGAGCTCGTGGCATCTGAGGGTGCAAAAGGACAGCGTGGAGTGAGTGACTTGAGTTCAAAAGATGGGGAAATGGTGGGAGGGTGAGAAATCACTCTGGGAGAAGAAATGCAAATGGGCAGGCAGGTTAAAAGCTGAGGTTGAAACAGAGTTTCTATCGAGCATCCTGTTGTGGTTTTGTGCTGTACCACACGTGGCGTTTGTTTTAGTCACTAGCAGCAGTAGGACATCTCGGGGCGAGAGTAGCAAAGAAAAGTGATTTTCCTTTCTGTCTGGGGGTGTAGCACATTAAGGGAGCAACGCTCTTCTGCCTAATTTACTGCGGTGGCAACTAATTGTGCAGAGATGTCTTTTGTCAGGGATTTTTGATGAACACCGATGGGCTTATGGAGCCCTGTAGCAGGGGAAACAAAGAGGGGAATCAACATGGTCTGTAGTGTGAGAAAATGAACTTGACTGATCTCATAGGAAGAGTTGGAGTAGCAGCACAGGGCCTAGTGAAACTTGAGATCAGTTTACACTAGTGGAGGATCTGGATCATGTTATATGCAACTCCCCCAAGATATGCTGACTAGTGTGTGTCAGAATTGATTACGGATGTTTGTGGTAGGGCAAGCACAGTGTAAAACCTCTTCAGTCTGCAGAACTGGACAGTATCCTCCTGACCTTATGTTTTTCCTCTGTAGTTGGCTCCAGGAAGCAGTTTAAATTGTAGTGTAGCATTGCTCAGGCCCAAGGGAATAGTTTGTGGTGTGCAGAAGTGTGGCTGGGTATGAAGATACTTGA